CACTACACTTCTTCCGTATTGGCTTAAAATTCAAGAGCAAGACCACCTGCGAATACTGGGAGCATTAGATATTCTCCAATCTAATATCTCAGAAGCCCTAGCATGTGTAGAAGCTCAGCAATGGTTGATAACGGTAGCTAAAGCTATCATCAGAGATGGTTTTAACCAGCAGCTACCTTTGGAATTGAAGAAAATCGTCTATGAGGATGCCAATGATTTTGAGAAAATACATCACCAACAGTGCCAATTACTAACGTTCACTTACTTCCAGCACAACGATACGATCATGGCCTTGATTCTTACTTTAAAATCAGCTAATCAAGAAACCATATATCCTCTTGTTGCTTTGGGGATATATGCTAACCAGTCCCTACTAGTCCCTATAGAAGAACATAAATGGGTACATATTAACGCTAATAATTCGTACGTCCCTATAAATCTGAAAGCATGCGTCCATCAACCCAACCTGGGATATACCTGCACTACCCAAGTGTGGGAGGAGGATTCCACTTGCCTAGACCCTGTAGAGAGAACTTGCTCCTATGAAGTGTTTCACCATTCCCTCAGTAGAGCCTCTGCCATAGTATAAGTGGATTCTAATTGTTTTTGTATCCGGAGTTTATCTCCATATTTCTTAGTTAATAATTTGTATAAAGTTACTAATTCAGGAATAGGGAATTTATGTATATGTAATGTCATACAGTTAATGGGTTGTGATATCAATGTATCTGTACATACTGTATATATTAAAGATGTATTAAATGAATATAGATTGTACAATACGTTGACCTCCAGATTTGCTCCAACATGGATGGGTACCAGCCAGGGCTCTGCAGCTGCCCCCAACTTCTAAAAAAATCTTGAATGTCTCGCACCCCCAGGGGGTGGGTGCACCCCAGGTTAAGAACCACTGCACTAAACTGATAAGATCTGCATTTTAATTTAATTTTAAATGAAATTCCTAAACATTTTAAAAACCTTGTTTACATACAATAGTTTAGTTATATAATATAATCTTAGAGAGAGAGGCCTTCTAAAAAACGTTAAAACGTATTACTGGCACACAAAACCTTAAATTAAAGTGAATAAATGAAGACTGGGCACACCACTTCTGAAAGGTTGCCGACCCCTGTTGTGGATGGTGGTGGTTGGGGCCAGAATATACCAGGATCCAGCAAGATCCAGGTACCATGAGCCAGATGTGTTTTTCCAGGGGTTTTGTACCAGGGTGTGTCAGAGTTTCCCAGGCAAGCAGAAGTGGCTCCCCTTGCTTTCTGCGTTGTACAATTCAAATGGCCCAAAGCTGCCACGAGCAGCCAGGGTCTGGCTCTTGAGCCGGGATGCACCTGCCGTGGCTTTGTGCAGCAGGAGCTTGGCCTCTGTTGGGGAGGGGCAGCGCCCCAAGCGTCGGGCCCGGGTTTTGCGGGGGCACTGCACCGGGGTGGCGGTCCCGCAGCTGGCTGGACCAATTCCGGCCCGGCGCTACCCTTCCCCGCCCGCCTCCAAGCAGCCGGGGGCCGCCACAGCAGCAGCCCCCCGCTGGCGCGTGACGGGACGGGAGGCGGGCCCGGGCCAGCCCCGGCGCGCGGCCTGCAGGCTGCAGCAGGATGCGGGCTACGCGGAAGCGGCTCTGCTCCGCGCTGCTGGCCGCCTACTTGCTCTTCTCCCTCTACGCCGCCTACAGCGTCTTCCTGCGGCCGCGGCGGTCGTCCGCCTCCCGGGGCGGCCCCCGGCCGCCGCGGCTCGGCAGAGGTAACGCGGCGGAGGGGCCCGGCCGGCGGCTGCGCTGTCACGCGAGCCCGGGGAGTGAACGGGGTCCGCGCTGGGCGCCAGCTGCTGCTGTCCAGCAAGGGGGGAGTGTGAGGGGACACTGCGGTCCCGTCCGGCCCCTTTGGCTCCTGCCCTGTGAAATATCCCCCCCGAGTGCCGAGCCTAGCGCCCGAGATGCCGGTGACCGGGTAGCTAATGCCCAGTGCGGGCGGGGCAAGCCTCAGGGAGGCTCCTGGCGATTGCGCTTTCATACAGAGGGGTTGAGGGGAAGCTTTGCTCCCACCCGGCGGCGGCAAGAGGTGTCGCTTATGTAGCAAGCTGGAGAAGTGGGCAGCCAGCTAAGCCTTTTGGGTTGGTGGGGGTTAGCTAGTAGCCACTCATACGGTCTGAGGTGAGGCGCCTGGCCGTGGCGTCTACGTGTTTCAACTGCTAGTGAGAGGCCCCTGCCCCAAAAAATCGGTGTGTGTTTATGTCTGTGCTTGGAAGAATTAGCTCTTTAGCAGTAAATGTCAGTAATGCCAGCAGCACAATGAAGCTTTTGTTGATAGGATCGACTTCTTTGATGGCATGTACATGATCCATGGTGCTGGTTTGTTCTGAAACTTTCTCCTTTTAGAGCTAATTTGTTCTGAATATGTGAGGTTTTACTGTAGTAGCAGTTGTTCTTAATCTAGTTATCAATTCAGAAGATTAAATACAGGCCTGGCTTCTAGAGCTAGTCACTCCCCTAACTTTGGTGACAGATTCTTTGTATTTTGTCACCAGTGAGACGTAACTTTATGCACATGAGTCACCTGGCTGGAAAATGCATATTTCCTGAGTCTTAAATATAGTTACTATAATATGGAAAATTACAGGTCTCTCTTGGTTGTTTCGTCTCCCCCCGCTATCTCCCCTCCTCCCCCCTTTCAATCTTTCATTGCAGGAGCTGCTTATAGGAACTTCCACAAAGAAAATTCCTCATGCCCTGGATTAAAAAATTCACTATTTATTGTGGTAGCACCATAGATACCCAGTAGGGCTCAGGATAGCATTGTGCTAGGTGCTGTACAAACATAGGCCCCAATGCTGCGCAGGCAGACCTGACCCCTTTCTACACTAAAGCTTCCACTATTGCTACCTGTGGGGAATTAGAAGTCTAATTTTTGTCACTGTAGACTAGCCCAATGAGCACAGATGCAAGCTATGCTGTAGCCATGGTTGGGCATAAGTGTGTTTTGAAAACAGTCTTGTGTGGACAGTACCTTAAAACATCTACTAAAATGAGACCTGTTATTTCTGTAACATTTAGGAGTAGACTTGTAGACCTAAGGTTGTTAATGCAAAATGTGTGTCTTTTAAACATAGAACGCTCATCTTTGGGAAATGAAGAATGGAATCCTTGGGAAGGAGATGAAAAAAATGAGCAGATTGCTTCACAGCAGAGATATGAAACTAATCTTCAAATGTTAAAAAATTTGAAATCCCAACAAGAACAAACAGACCTTAAAGTGCAGATCTGGGGTAAAGCAGCCATTGGTAAGCATTTGTGATTAATTTGTTTAATACTGCTAAGTGACCATGGCAAGTCCCTTAACCTTTCTGTGTCTCCCTTTTCCTTTCTGTAAAGATGAGTATAAAAGTGTTTGCTTACCTGTTTAAAGTACTGTGCTATCTTTGGATGGAAGGCCTGGTATAAGTGATAAGTATTTATTTTTCAGAACTGTATAAACAACACAATGAGAACAAACTTCAGTTCTTTGGCATACTTTGTTCATTTGCTTATCCTGTACTGTTGTCAGGGACTCTCTTTGCTGGATTATCCTAAGCAAATTGTGTAGTGTTACATTGTTCATTCCAGAGCACATAGTGTGATTCAAAAAACTGAAGAGTCCTGGTGAATACTTTTTCATGCTGACTTCTAGATCAGAAGTTGAGAGAAAGAAACAGTATGCGGGTTGTGCAGATTTGTTCCCTTCCCAAACTTTTTACTAAGAAGACTCACCAACTACATTGTCTCTTTTCTTTTCTTTTCTTTTCTTTTCTTTTCTTTTGTGACCCACCATTACATATATGCACTACCTTCTGCCCTAGTACTGCAGCCCTAATCCCTGCTCAGTGCAGAGGGGAGGCCAGGGAAGTGGGGAGAGTTGGAAAGTGAGCCTGCCCCTGCTCACCCTTCAGCAATGGCTCCTGTCCCACAGGGCTGGGTGAGGTCTGCATGGGCTGGTAGGATCTGAGTAGAACTATGGATCCATGTGCCATCTCCTAACACCCAGAATGCCTGCCCTACGGGACAGGAGCTGCTGCTTCGGCGTGAGTGTTGTGTGGGCTTAGTCTCCTCTGCCCTCCAAGACCTCCCCTCTGCATTAGGCTGGGCAAAGTGTATGTTTGCCTAGGCCAGGGCCTACTGATAGGTTAATATTGCCCTGGACACAGCAACTCATCTAGAACCTTCCCATATGTAACTTAAAATACTTTAGGGCTCATATTGAACTGATGCATGTAACTGTTTGCAGGACTGGGGCTTTAATTATCTAAAAGTGAACACCCTTTTCTTGGCACTGCTAGCAATTCACCTGAAAGTTGCTCCATTTTAGAAGGTATTGCATTTCCTCTATCCATAAAACTCCAAGAACCTTGACCGTCTTAGAATGTGAATGGAACTTTTGGAGGAGTTTTCATTGAAACTGTAACAATACCATCTTTAGATGGGGTTTTTTATGGTGGTCTTTTGTATTCATTGACATACTATACGTGGGTATTTTTCCATTGTAAAAATATTCCATGTTTCCAGGGGAGAAACTTCACCTCTCTCTCGTAACTTCAAACGGTGCTGTCATTGGGCATGACTACACTATAGTGCCCCCTCCTTGCCAACTGTGGCTCTGCTGAGGCCTGCCTCAGTTTCCCCTTCACTCAGGGCCCCTTAAAAAGACAACAGTCCAAATTCAAAGCATTCACTTTCAGGGTGCCAATTTATTTATTCTTTCAAAATAGAACTCAAACTTAAGTCTGCATTCCAGTTTCAGCTGGCCCACCACCTCCTCCTGGAGGGTCTGTTTCCCTCCTGAATCAGGACCCTGCAGGAGCCTTCTCATTCCCTGTAGTGTCTTCAGGCATCTGCCAACTGTCTCCCCCCCCCGCCAGCTGTGTCTGCCTTTATAGGGTCCAGATGCTTTCCCTTAAGCCTAACGAGGCAGCAGGTAGTCAGTCCAGGTGCACTGGACCCCTTTGCCTCTTAACGGGGCCAGTCACCCTGTGACAAGTGTACTTGTCTTAAGGCTGATAATGCTTAACATTTTAACAAATATACTTACACAGTCATTTTTTGTTTTCCTGTCCAACCGTTAACAGGACACTGCCTACAATTTAAAAATAACTGCCCAAATAACTGCCCAAACTGCCTGATGTAGAAAATCCTCCCTTTCTAATTCCAAAGAGTGAGGGTGGGTTTGTTTATTATGGGGGGGTGGAGCAACCAATCCATGTTAAATAGGAAAATTTGACATCCACATCCCACTATCATTGCCACACAGTTCCTGAAACATTCCTTTTGGTATGATTTTTACAGTAGACAGGAGATGCCATGTATGCACCAAGTACTCCAGCCGCTCTTCATTATTTATGTAGGTCTTTACCTCTGGCAACATATTCTTGAAGGTCTGCTTGAACCTGCTGATGTGACTGCTCAGTGGAGAGAAGGAAGCATAAAGGGAGGAAAAACACATTTCAGGTACCAGTTGCATGACATTGACCTTCTCTTGTGTTGACTTTAGCAGTCTCTGTGTTGAAAACATAAACACTGTAGGAAAAGGTGGCCAGTTGTATAATTTATCCCTCCCACTCCAACAATTGTAAATATTTTAATATGTATAAAGGGAAATGGTATAACAATAATACTTGTTTTGGTGATTCATTCTGACCAACCATGAACATATTTATTGCCATACTTAATTTCAGACCTTGTATTTAATATGTTCTGTATGACAGTTTGATGTTTAATTTGTTCTTGTAATTTCTAGAAATTACATTTTAATCCTATTGCCCATCACTGCTTAAAGTCAGAAAAATTAGGCTTTGTGCAAAGAACTCAGTGGAAGCTGGCAAGGTTGGAGTTACCCTCTTCTGTGGCCACTCTTCCTGCCTACAGATTACAGTTCTAGTCTCTACAACCTTATTCATCTGCACAAGGACCTGTGCACCACTTAAGCCCCCATTTAAGAGCTTAAGTGATGTTCAGAGCCTTGCATGGACCCTTTGATCTGAGGTACAGTCTCACAGGGTGAAATTCATCAGTTTTTTGGTTGTTGTTTTTTTCATTACAGAATATGACCGTGTCGCTTTTTTAAATAAAGTCATATATACAGGTTGAAATAAACACCTGATGATCCACATGAGAAATTCACCAGGCCTAATTTTACACTAGTCATCTTTGTAGAAGTGATATTAATAATTTCATAAGGCCAGAAAGAACCATTATGATCATAAAGTCTGATCTCCCCTATAACACAGGTCATATGACCTCACCCTGTAATTTCTACATCAAGCCCATAACTAAGCAAAAGCATATATTTCACAGAAACATCCAATCTAAGTGAAAACAGATACACCATGTTCTAAGTAAGTTATTCCAGTGGTTAATCATCATCACTTTTAATTAATTATGCCTTATTTCTAGTCTGAATTTGTCTAGCATCAGCTTCCAGTCCTTGGCTCTTGCTATCAAAAATCTCTTCCCACCTAGGTACTCAAAGACTTTGATCAAGTCACTGCTTAATCTTCTCTTGGTTAAACTAAATGGATTGAACTTCTTTGGTCTCACAACTCTTGTTACTCTTTTCTGAACCCTTTAAAGGTGGACACAAGAACTGGACACAATGTTCCAAAAATGGTCTCACTAATGCTAGATGCGGTGGTAATATCGTCTCCCTGCCTCTACTTGATATTCCCTGGCTTATCCGCCCAAGGATCATTTTTGCCCTCTTAGCCCCCAGAGCTCATGTTCAGTTGACCATCATGACCTTTAGGTCACTTTCAGAGTCACTGCTTTCCAAAATACAGCTCCCTCATCTTGTAAGTGTGATGTACATTCTTTGTTCCTAAATGTATGACTTTGCATTTGTCTATTTTAAAAATGCACAGTCACAAACACTCCAGCTCAGTAAGGTAGATAGAAATAATACAGAAAGTACATCTGCACATCATATTCACACCATCCCTTGCAGAACAACCTGAAATATTAGCAATTATATTCCTCATCCCCATCGCCTTCCTCATCTTCACCAGTAGCCATCATTCTGGCATCTCCCAAGGGATACATCTCTCTCTCCTACTGCCCACAGGCTGGGATGTAACTTTTATAATACGTTACGCTGACACCGCTACGTGTAATGCATATTCAGTAGGGGTATTTCCCCTCTTATTGTTTTTCCTCAATCTACTAGTTTTGAGGTGTCCTCCTTCTATAGGTCAGTATATTAATGATTTGAACTCATTGTCCTATACATCAGTTCATTGCTATGGCACTCGTATGGCTGGATGTTCTTTCCAAAACTTTCCAAAAGCTGGTGTTAGTGCATGTTTCTGTGGTTGGCTGATGTCATTATGGACAAAATTCTCCCTTACACTCTACTTCCGGTTCCCCAAAACATAGTGGTTACTGTTGGGCCGTTTATCTGTGCCAAAGTTCATAGACTTCAAGCATCATGCTAACTGCTGAAGCCAATGTCTTACAGGATACAAGCCGTTCCTTGCATTACTGCCGAATATAATAAAGGCAAGGCAGAATAATAAAGGCAGTGTGTCAAGTTTTGTATAGTAAAATGTAACAGCATTCTTCATCTGGCACATAAGTGTTTAAAACTGTTAAACTATCCTAAACATATACATAAAATAGAACATCAGGATAATGGTGTTTTCATGGAAGTGAGTAGTTTTGCTCTTTTGCAGCATCTTTTTATTATAAAATTAGTAAACTTGGTTTGGGACACTCTTGCTGTTTTTCAAAAATATTTTTTAAAGTAAGGTTCTCTTTAGAATTTGTGTGCTCATACTGTAGTTGTACTTTGCTTTAACCCAATCTATAGAATTGCCAGAAATAGCAAGTTCAGGGTAAATGGATTCATTGTGAATCATAAAATGCCATCCTTCCAAGTAGTATCATATAAGATTTTTTTTTAAATTACACCTTAAGTTTGACTTGTCTAACCTACTATTGCACTTTGTTTAGAATAGTCAGTTTACAAAGTATGACCCTTAGTGCTTTTCAGTAGTGTAATGATGGTGGTTTGTTTAAGCCTTTTAATGCTCAGAATGGCTTTTGTATGACTCTAAGGAAAGAGAAAACTCTTCAGTACAAAGTATGCATTTTGGAGCCTGATCCTGCAAGTGGCTGAATGCCTTCTGAGTGATGCCAGTGCACTTTGAGAAAGCTCTGAGTAGCAGTACATGAGCTGTCCATCTGCAGACTCAGGCAGACAGCACTGCATCCTTTTATCTTTGAATGGAATGGAAGTTTGGAAGGTTTTCTTTTCATGAATAGAATCTTTTTTAAAAACCAAAACTTAGAATCAGTATAAACTAATTTCAGTCTCCCAGAAAAGTTTCCTATTTGGTGTGAACAAGAGAATATTTGTCAAGACTTGACTTTAACTAGTGATAAGAAATATTTTGCTACACTTATGGATGGGTTTTTAGAATCTTGACTGGTTAAAAACATTTTCTTCTTTAAATTATCTGTCAGTTTCAGGTGAATAATACTTAACAAAAAGTTTCTTAATGTGTATCTCATTGGGTGAAAGGACTTCTTTACTGGCATTTAAATAGGCTGTCTTCTGGGTGCAACCAGATTATCCTAACCTCTTTAGAGGAGAAGAGTTTGCTAAGTCTCCATTTTAAGCAAAATCTATTCACATTTTAGATACTTTCAAAATACAGAGTTAAAAAGTGAAAGTACCAATACAGCAGAAATTAAAAATTGGATAGGTTAGTTATAATCTATTACATCAAGTATAAAAATGTGAATTCTCTCCTTCTATCTATGATTAATTTGTTTTTCCTTAATCCGAAATAGCCCAAACTTCATGACTTCCAGTCACAATACAAAATCCGCTTGTTTGATAGGATTTTGTGGGGAAGGATGAGGATATGTTGTTAGGTGTGATGTGGGAATGCAGAGGTTTTTTCATTTTTATTTATTGGCTGGCTGAAGTAAATTGTTATCTGTATTTGACTATTTAATGTTGCTGGCTAATGGAGTTTTTGTGCATTATTATTATAGTCTGTAGGCTGCTGGGAGTGTGTGTGTGGGGCGTCTTGCTATTGTTAATTATTGGTGGGGCACTGAGACCTTTTTATATGGGTATTTTTTAAAAGTATTAACTCTAAAGACATAATTGCCAAAATACCAGTTAAAATGGGCATGTAAATAAACTCAGGGTATTTCTTTGTTCTCATTGATGCAGAATATGGTGGCATAACAGGACATGATATATCTACCTCAAAAATTTTTAGAGGAATAATTTAACCTCCCTAGAACTTTCAAATGTAAATTTAAAAAAAAAAAACAACTTTGGAGAACACAGTCAGATTTGACTTTAAGAATAACCCACCTTCCCAGTTCTACGTTACGCTCAGGGAATTTTTAAAACATTAACGCTGAATTGCTTTCCAGATTGTTTGCAGGATCAGAACCCAAGTATTTACAGACATGTTTAACTTCACATATGTGTGTTGTCCCATTTACTTCAATGAGACTACACACATGCATAGGTATGAGGGGGTAGCCGTGTTAGTCTGAATCTGTAAAAGGCAACAGATGGTCCTGTGGCACTTTTAAGACTAACAGAAGTATTGCAGCATAAGCTTTTGTGGGTAAATGCCCACTTCATCAGCCCTTGCAAACACCTGCTCACATGCATAGGTGTTTGCAAGGTCAGGCCTTTGGATGGTTAAACGAAGGTGAAGTGCAGTATCTGTTTAGGCACTGTAATGATCCCCATTACTGTAGTAACTGAGCACCTCAAAATTTATGATTGTATGTATCTTCACAATCCCCCTTCCCATTAGAAAAGTGCTATTATGCCCATTTTACAGGTAGGCAAATGAAGCACAGAGATGAAGGTCACATAGGAGGTCTGTAATAGAGCAGAGAATTGAACATTGGTCTCCTGAGTCCCAAGCTAGTGACCTAACCGTTGGACCATCCTTCTTTTCATACTAGTGTCTGTCATAATACAGTACTACAGATTTCTCATTTCTCACATGAAACTGAAGGTTTTCAGTCCCTATGGTGGTATTTTGTATTCTGTTGTTTTTGAAAAGAATAAAAGTTTATGATCCATTTCACAGATGACAAAGCATACTCTAACTAATTATTCTAGGGATTCTGTCTGGTTTCAATGAGTTCATTCAGATTTTCAAGAATTTTCAATATTTGAATACTAAACAGATACTGCACTTCACCATCGTTTAACCATCCAAAGGCCTGACCTTGCAAACACCTATGCATGTGTGTAGTCTCATTGAAGTAAATGGGACAACACACACATGTGAAGTTAAACATGTCCGTAAATACTTGGGTTCTGATCCTGCAAATATACCGTGTTTGCAGTTAATTTTTAATCTCTTTATTGTTCAGGTAAAAGGCCAGTGTGAGCTTTACTGAAGTTTAAATTGTCATTTTAGACTCTGTACATCTGAAATTTGTCACAATAGCAAAGGTACTTTGCAGTACATAATGTCTGTTTTAATGAAGAGACAAAATCTCTAAACACTGCAGGCAGATTGTTTGCAATGCAGTGAACAGAATATGCATACAAGTTGGTAACATATCTCAGAAGATGTCAAGTGTTTGTGTTTTATTATTCACAGTTTCATCACTGGTCCAGCCGTAGTCCCAGGATACTTTTCAGTAGAAGCTGATAATGTGGTTCTAGTTCTGAATGGAAGAGAGGAAGCAAAGATCACTTACGCCACTCAGTGGTTGCATTATGCACAAACTTTAATACAAACTCGCAAGCTGAGGCATGTTGCCATTGTGCTGCTTGGAAGTGAACAGTGTAACAATGAATGGATTCACCCATACCTGAAAAGACACGGAGGATTTGTGGAACTACTTTTTGTAGTATACGACAGTACCTGGGTAAACGAAGAAGATATTTTCCAGTGGCCTTTAGGAGTAGCTACGTAAGTGTTAAACATAAACAAATTACACTTAAGGAATCAGTTATGCATGAACTGTACATGCCTATTGTTTTTAGCAGTTATATCTGTAACATTATGTCTGAAACATTTTATATTTAAAAAATTGTATACAATTTCTGCTGTCTAAAACTGTTAAGCAAACTGTGGAACTTGGCTTTGGTTCATGCTGCTGGTTTTGACTATCTAAATTAGGCTTCAGAAATTTTAAAGGCAAAAGGTAATTCAGAAGTTAAAGTACAGCTATGTTTTAAAAGGTTAGTGTGTTCAAGGGGTACCGTATTAATTCAATAATTTGCTTCTTGTGACTGTTCAGTCAAATTTGCCATATCTGCTGACATTACTAACTATTAACATTTACATTAGGATTAAACAACATTAAAAATGATATAGCTTCCCACAGTTGGGTTGGGGAAGGACTAGCGAAGAAACGTTAATATGCCAATATAAGTCATCTTGTATGTTTTTTCACTCTGAAAGGCATTCTGAACACATAATAAGAACCAGAATAGCCTAGACTAGAATTTAGTGGCAAAAAGTAAGTGTGGTGGATTACTCTCTCTTTAAGATGAGGGCAGGCTGGGACCCTTATCCAGGGTAAAAAGAAGAGATTTTTCAGAGGGAAGTCAGTCTATGGAAAGCTCTGCTGCAGGAAAGAGTTGGAGGAACTTCAGTAAGTGGCCTGGGGCCTAATAAGGGAATCCAGTTTGGACGTATTGAGAGTACTTTTTTTTTTTCCCCCTGGGGGGAGGTAGGTGGGGCATTGAGGGTAGTGTTTCTTTCTCTTGTGGCTAATAAACTGGGATTTGATTTTATACCCCTTGAATTTTGTAATTGGTAAACTCTGGGATCATAGTAAAATAAATAAATAAATAAATAATGGAGATATCCTATCTCCTAGAACTGGAAGGGACCTTGAAAGGTCATCGAGTCCAGCCCCCTGCCTTCACTAGCAGGACCAAGTACTGATTTTTCCCCAGATCCCTAAGTGGCCCCCTCAAGGATTGAACTCACAACCCTGGGTTTAGCAGGCCAATACTCAAACTACTCAGCTATCCCTCCTTAGGATAAATGTTTACTACATTTTTATCCTGTTAGTGTTGTAGAGTGGATACAGCTATGGGAGAGTTATCTTCATTCTTTCCTGTCTTACTCCTGTCTTAACAGAATTATTCCAACTGCAGAATCTCTATTATCAATGGTAATAATGCAAGCCAGAAAGCTTAATTTTCAGATCCATGTTGAATTTGCAATGCTGGCCATTAGAAAACATGTTTTTATTGAAACCAAAGGAAATTTGCTCAGGATGCCATTGACAGAAAGTAAACATGAAGCCTCCACAGTGGCAAAGAATCAGTGTTTGTAAGGAAAGATATATTCAGTTTTGAACATGTTAAGATGATAATGAGACAACTAGGAGGAAATGCCCTAGAGGTAGTTGGGATGCAGGGGTAAGGGGGTGAGAAAAAGAGGGAGAGGTCAGAAGTGGAAAGGTAGATTTGCAGGCATTTATGTAAAAGTGGAAGTTAAAGCCATGTAAATGGATGCAATTACCCAAATGAAGAGTGGGTGAGGGAGTGACAGAGAGAAGTGGAAAGAAACAAGTACAAAGTCTGGTAGGTAACCTACAGAGAGAAACAAGGGCAAGGAAGAGAGAGAACCTCTGAAAGAAGTGCTGAATTACTGCCCAAAGAAATAGCAGGGGAACCAGGAAAGGACAGAGTCATGAAAGCCCCAGGTGGGGGTGGGGAATAAGATGTTCAGAAGGGGAGCGTATGATCAACAGTACCAAAGGCAGTGGAGAAGCCAAGGAAAGTGAGGATGGACTAAAGTACTCCTGAGGGCATTCTGCGCCAAAAAATTAAAAATTCTGCACACAGTATTTTAAAATTCTGCAAATGTTGTTTGTCAAATAAATGTGGAGACTCCAGCCTGGCATTGGGGAGCACAGGCCACTGGCTAGACAGAGCAGGGAGATCACTGTGCAGCTCTCCCCTGGGACATGGACCCAGCGGTGAGGCTGCACCCAAATCTGACACAGAGCAAGGACCAGGCCTGCCCCCAGAAACACCCTATGGCCCTGCCCTTCCATGCCAGGTGTGGGCAGGCAGGCTTAGCCTGGCAAGATCCAAGTGTGGAGGGGCTCAGTGTGGGGGGATCAAGGTGTGGGTTGAGAGGGTTCTGCTTGGGTCAGTCTGGGTGAGGCTGCTCAGTGGGGGATCCAGGTGTGTGGGGGGATCTGAATGCACAGAGGCTTGTTGGGGGAAGGGGGGTATGGGTGCAACAGTAATGGGACTCTGAGGGTGGGTCTGACCCAGCCGGGACTTGCAGTTGAGCCCAGGGCAGGGTAGGATCCACCAGCCGGGTCTTCCCCAGTCCCGCCCCCTGCCCCACAGTGATTTAGCTCTCTGCTGGCTGCCCTGGGCACCTAAAACATATTGCTGGGGAGGGTCATATGACTGCTCTTGTGGCTTCCCTTTGCTTCCCCCATCAGAAAGTCATTTTTCTCTGGGGAAGCAAAGAAATCTGTGGGGGACATGAATTCTGTGCATGTGCAGTGGCACAGAATTCCCCCAGGAGTAGGACTAAAGGCTTGTTTTGAAACTAGGAGAATTTTGTGATCAATGTATGTTTTTTTCCAAATTGTTTCCTTACTGTAATAATATAGAAATAGAAGGGAAACTAGCAGTATTATTGACCCACTCTCTAAAAATAACAAAGTTAGAAAGAAAATCATAGCTAATTTTGAGAATGTGACAGTTGTAAGAGGGACATGTAATTTAATACTAACATACAAAAGTGTGGTAAATTAGATCTAGATAATGAAAATGACTCTGCCAGCCCTTTAGCTGAACCATTGGTGCTGTTATGACTAAAATCAGTAACTTTAAGTGTAATTCACAGATTAAATTGGTGAAGATGCACAGGTTGTAGGGACCAAGTTGAGTTTTCATTTGGCAGTATACCAATGGCATGGTTTTTACAGCATACACTTTCAGCTGATTCAAATAACTGAGATGTCAACTCCCAAGGAACCACTAACCCAGCAACTTCAGCCAAAATAAGTGGTGGTATTGAGAACAGCTGCTATTGAAACAGAATGTTTTTGTCTGATTCACGCCCTAGAAGATCCCTAACTTCTTTTTGTCAGCACCAAGTGGAATTATGTACACATGCTACAGAATGCTCATCTAAAACCAAAGGGATAATGATAAATATTATCCATCAGTGTTTGGCTATCTTTGTTTTTTTAAATTCAGTCAGTAGTTAAATATTGGAACTGATTACAAAGCTATTTCAGTTCTTAAAATCTGCTACATAAACATGAAATGGTGCAAAGACCCATCTTTTTCCTTTGACATAAAAATATTTTCATCTAATGTATGCATTGTTGTTACAGATATAGGAATTTCCCCATCGTAGAGCCCAACTGGTCAATGCTACGTTCTCCAAGATCATATCTATGTAACTTTTTAGGAACGGTGTATAAGAATTCATCTAGGGAGAACCTAATGGAAGTTTTGAAACAAGACGGGCTTGATAAACTCTGTTGGATTGCAGCCAGAGAACAGTAAGAGCTCTGATTTACTTTGTAACTGTATAGTTTGGTAGCTGAATTATTCAAAGCCCCTTGCCTAGATCATTGATGACCTAGGTCATCTCTTTTAAAATATGTTATAAATAAAATAGTATAAATAATGACAATGGTCAAACTTAAAACAATGAAAACCTTGCTGAGCTGAGATTTTCATACAGATCTTGGATGCCTTATCACCTTGTGTGCTGCAGTACTTTACATTGTGGCTGTGACTTGAAATAGTTTGAAAAAAATATCTAACATAATACAGCCAGTCCTGTTTCCTCTCACACATACCTGTTTTGGTGGAAGTGGCAGTGGGTATTCAAAATCTGTGTCATACATCCTGTGGATATTATCCACCTACCAGAAGAGGGAGACATGAAACCAGAGCTTTATGTCATCAACCGCGTATAAAGATGCTGGCTTCAGCTAAACAATATAGTTTATTTCGTGTCTTCAGGAGGTAGAACGGATCTTCTGACTAACTGAAATAAGTTCTAATGGTTCTTTTTAATTTGCTTTTAACAACTTCTACCTTAAACCTTGGCAGGATTCAATAGGTATTCCCTTAAAGAGGAGGAGATGCTTTTAAAAAATCTAAACTGTCTTTCATCGATTATTTAAACTCATAATAAAGTTTTGTACAGCTCCTAAAAGGAGAAAGGGTGGACTGCAGGAAGGAGTGACATGGCTGTCGAGGCAATTGAGGGATTACGTTTGATCACTTGATACCATCTGAAAAAGAATTATTTTCTTTTTTGAATTTCAGATTTTAGAATTAAACCCACAGGCCATTTTAGAATTAACATATATAAGCCATATAGGTTTACAAAAAGGATACTCTTAACAGAGATTTTCAGGGTTCAAATAGGACTGTAGATTAAGGTGCCAGTTCTGTCACCCTTAATGGAATACTTACTCCCTTTAAAATATAAATAATACTAAGAGTATTTTTAATGTGAAAAATTATATTTTGATTGTTTTCAGTTTTCCATATTAGTGTATGAATAATAATCTCCTTTTTAAAATGGGTTAATTTATTAGAATAGGTGGAAGAATATAAAACTAGGAAGAAGTCTTCAAAGTTGCAATTCAGACTGTCAATTAATTTCAGTTAACTTATGCCATTAACAAAAAAAATTAATTGCGATTTAAAAAAATTAATCGCGATTAATCACAGTTTTAATTGCACTGTTAAACAATAGAATACCAATTGAAATTTATTAAATATTTTGGATGTTTTTTCTGCATTTTCATATATATTGTAGTCTGTGTTCTAATTGAAATCAAAGTGTATATTTTTATTACAAATATTTGCACTAAAAATGATAAATAAAAGAAATAGTATTTTTCAATTCACCTCATTCAAGCACTGTAGTGTAATCTATTTGTTGTGAAAGTGCAAGTTACAAATATAGGGTTTTTTTTATTATATACCTGCACTCAAAAACAAAACAATGTAAAACTTCAGAGCTTACAAGTCCACTCAGTCCTACTTCTTGTTCAGCCAACTGCTAGGACAAACAAGTTTGTTTACATTTACAAGAGATAATGCTGCCCTCTTCTTATTTACGGTGTCACCAGAACATGAGAACAGGCATTTGCATGGCACTTTTATAGCTGGCATTGCAAGGTATTTACGTGCCAGATATGCTAAACATTCGTATGCCCTTTCATGCTTCCGCCACCATTCCAAAGGACACGTTTCCATGCTGATAATGCTCATTAAAAAAAGAATGCATTAATTAAATATGTGACTGAACTCCTAGAGGGAGAATTGTATGTCCCCTGCTATTTTACCCACATTCTGCCATATATTTCATGTTATAGCAGTCTCAGATGATGACCCAGCACATGTTGTTCATTTTAAGAACACTTTCACTGCAGATTTCACAAAACGCAAAGAAGGTACCATGTGAGATTTCTAAAGATAGCTACAGCACTCAACCCAAGGTTTAAGAATCTGAAGTGCCTTCCAAAATCTGAGAGGGACAAGATGTGAAGCATACTTTCAGAAGTCTTAAAAGAGCAACACTCCGATGCAGAAACTACAAAACCCAAACCACCCAAAAAGAAAATCAACCTTTTGCTGGTGGCATCTGTCTCAGATAATTAAAATGAACATGCATCGGTCTGCACTGCTTTGGATTGTTATCGAGCAGAACCTGTCATCAGCATGGTCGCATGTCCCCTGGAACGGTGGTTGAAGCATGAAGGGACATATGAATCTTTAGCGCATCTGGCACATAAATATCTTGCAGCGCTGGCTACAACAGTGCCATGTGAACACCTGTTCTCACTTTCAGGTGACACTGTAAACAAGATGCGGGCAGCATTGTCTCCTGCAAATGTAAACAAACTTGTTTGTCTGAGCGATTGGCTGAACAAGAAGTAGGACTGAGTGAACTTGCAGGCTCTACAATTTTACGTTGTTTTATTTTTGAATGCAGTTTTTGTACATAATTCTACATTTGTAAGTTCAATTTTCATGATAAAGAGATTGCACTACAGTACTTGTATTTGAAAATGTAGAAAACATCCAAAAATATTTAAAGTGGTATTCTATTATTGTTTAATAGCGCGATTAATTTTTTTAATCACTTGACAGCCCTAGTTGCAATGTATTCATTGCAGTCTCTAGCTGAGACTGCAATGAAGGCAGAACCAATAAAGACATGGGCAGAGAAATGTGCTGAAAAGAAGATGACCATATCAAAGAAGAGACTGGAAAATAGACATCGAAATAGAGTGCCTTTATTGGTTCTGCCTTCATTGCAGTCTCAGCTAGAGATAGTTATACATTGCAACTAGAGCCGTCAAGTGATTACAAAAATTAATCGCACTGTTAAACGATAATAGAATACCTCTGGTTGGGATGCCAGAGGGGGTCAGGGGTGCAGGGTCCAGGCGGTGCTTACCTCAAGCAGCTCCCAGAAGCAGCGGCATGTCCCTCCTCTGGCTCCTACGCGTAGGGGCAGCCAGGGGGCTCCGCACACTGCCCTGTCCGCAGGTGCCGCCCCTGCAGCTCCCATTGGCCGTGGTTCCTGGCCAACGGGAGCTGCGGGGGCAGCGCTTGGGGCAGGGGCAGTATGTGGAGCCCCCTACGCATAGGAGCCGGAGAGGGGATATGCCGCTGCTTCTGGGAGCCACGTGGAGCCGCAGAGCGGGGCAAGCCCTGGACCCCGCTCCCCAGCAGGCGCTTGAGGGCCAGATATGGCCCCCAGGCCGCAGTTTGCCCACCCCTGGGGTGGACTCTCATCATGATTAAACCAAACCAATTCATTCTACTCTTAATTAGTTTGTACAGTTGTTCTCATGGAAGGTTTAAAAAACCTTTATTATAAATTTTAAAAGGCATTTAATAAAACTAGAGGCAACGTAATGCTTTTTCTGAAAATTTTGGACAAAAGAACTTGAGAGAGACTAATATAGTAACTAGAGAGAGATTATACAGTATCTATGGCCTAGAGTGCTGTCACACAAAGTACCTCGGACCATCTGAGCAAATTGAAGAGATTGACAATTGCTGCCTTACATTCTCATTTCTGAACAGTAAATCCCTCTGCTGATTTTAAATATTTTGGAGGGGGGGAATTATTCTTGCTTCAAAAAGTCTGTCAGAACATTCTATCTCCATATGCCTATTTTTGAGCCACTTAATAACCTTCCAGTGAAGCTTATGAAGTAAATTGATAGGGGCTTCCAGTACAAAATATTTAAAAAATATATATATTTTTTTGGGTGCTTGAAGTATTAATGATTCCTTTAAAGGCCCTCAGTTGAAAACTGTTCTTATAGCATTTATAGCTTACAGGTGAACTTTTCTATAAGTACCTGAAAAAAATTATTTAGGAATATGTGGCTTGAAACATAAAACCTTGCTGATTCTCAGATCTGTTGTTACAAACCTTGCAGCTCTGCAATATTTATATATACTAAAATTATAACACGGATCTCTATTTTTCATTGTAATACATCTACCCATGGAGGGAAAAAGTAATGTTAATTTTCAACTTCTTTATTTTTCTAGGTGGCAGCCTCAAGAAACAAATGAAAGTTTTAGAATCTATCAAGATGCATTGCTGCAGAGTGATCTCACATTGTGCCCAGTGGGCGTAAATACAGAATGCTATAGAATTTATGAAGCTTGTTCATATGGCTCTGTTCCTGTTGTAGAAGATGTAATGACACCAGGCAAGTGTGGAAATTCATCTATATACCACAGTGCTCCACTGCAATTACTAAAGACCATGGGGGCTCCATTTATCTTTATTAAAAACTGGGAAGAACTTCCTGCTGTTTTAGAAAAAGAGAAAAATATGAGCTTACAAGAAAAGATTCAAAGGAGAAAAAAGCTTATAGAATGGTACCGGTACTTCAAAGCACAAATGAGACATAAATTTATTAATATCTTGGAAAATTCATTTTTACCAAATTATAAAGGTTAATTGCCTCCTTTGAAAATCAAAAATAGATCAAAAGTTTAATTTTCACTGACCTTCAAGTAAGCTTTTATATAAAAATAAAAAATAAATGAACCACTTCCAGTGCAGGTGCAATTTCTTTGAAGTCAATAGAGTTGCACCAGCTTACCTAGGGCTGATTTTCACCCTTCTTTCCTAAACTACTTTCAGAGAGGATGCAGTCTTACAGGATAGTAGTCTGGATGGATGACATCAACTTTATTATTATTTTTTTGCAATGACCATCTCTCATTCTTAGCAAGTCAGTACTTCTGTGTTTTAATCTAGATATGGAAGCATTTCAGCAAATACATCACCCAAAGATAAATGTTTCACAAAAAGCATAATAAGTGGTGGCTCCACTACACTGATATTTATACCTTAAGCATTCTTTCCTGAAAGTCTCCTGCTATCATTTTCCTTATTTTAAAATATAATTTTATTATAGTTTTCGTTAACTGAGGAAAAAGAGAACTATGGTTAAGCAAGCCTTGAATGACAGAACTTTTAACAATATCAAAATAAAGTCTTTAAACTATTGCAGATAATGAGAGCTCTTCTCCCATTTTTGGCAGGTACAAAATGAAGCCATTTAATAATCTGGGCTCCTCCCATTTGTCCAGTGTCTTAGGGGGAGATGTTATGTATTGAAAAAATTTCATTTCTGTGATGTTATCAAGAGAACTTTCCTCTCCAAAACTGGCCATTGATAGATGGAATATTCCCTGCTACCCCACTCATCCTCACCACTGCCCACTTCTTTGACTAGCTTGCTACCATATACTAAAAGTATCTTCGACCATCCTGGAATAAATGGTCATTAAATCTTTTTTAATCCAAAACACTTCTGTAAAGGAACGTCCTCATATTTTAAATATGTGTCTAAACTCCTTACCCATCCCTGTTCCACCAAAAAGTAACAGTTTACCTTTTACTGAAAGTTTTTTCCTTTAATGTTTTGGTGATTGTGCATGATGTTGTCAGAGTATGAATACAGTGTGTAAAGATGCATTTGGGCAACGTTTTCAACAAAAATAGACCCACTTGTTCAGATAAAGTTATAAACACAATTGTGCTTCTATCGCAGGGGACGGCAACCTTTCAGAAGTGGTGTGCCGAATCTTCATTTATTCACTCTAATTTAAGGTTTTGCATGCCAGTAATACATTTTAACATTTTTAGAAGGTCTCTTTCTCTAAGTCTATAATATATAACTAAACTATTGTTGTATGTAAAGTAAATAAGGTTTTTAAAATATTTAAGGAGCTTCATTTAAAATTAAATTAAAATGCAGAGCCCCCCAGACCAGTGGCCAAGACCTGGGCAGTATGAGTGCCACTGAAAATCAGCTTGTGTGCCGCCTTCGGCACGTGTGCCATAGGTTGCCTACCCCTGTTCTATCGTATAGCTTTGAGGCCAAGAGTTTAGAAAGATTCAAAAAGGGATTGGGAGTAAAAATGTTCAAATGTGCCAGCATGATCTAAGAGCCTGCTTCCCATATCCTTGCTCTTTCGTCTGAAGCATCTGGTTCTAACCACTGTCAGAGACAGAACACTGGACTTAGTGGACACCAGTCTTCTCTAGTGAGGCAATTCTTGCATTTCTGCATTTGTTTGTGATTGCACCTACACGTGGCCATTTTAAGGTTTTGTTTTTAATTTGGTTCTCCTACTGTAGAGAGGGTTGCACTCTCTGCTTGTCAGATTCTCCACATGTGTGGGTGACAGGGCCGGCTCTAGCTTTTTTGCTGCCCCAAGCAG